TAAAAAAAAAAAAAAAAAAAAAATTATTTATTTATTTTATTTATTTATTTTATTTATTTATTTATTTATTTATTTTATTTTATTTTATTTATTATTAATGTATATTTATTATTACTATAATCATATTTAATTATTATTAATTATTTTTATAATATTATAACTGTTATACACAATATACACAATTATTAATGTTATTAACAATTATATAAATAATATAAATAATATAAATAATATAAATAATATAAATAATATAAATAATATAAATAATAATAATAGACAATAATAGACAACATAAACAGCAACAAATACACAAAAATAAAGAATAAAGAAAAGATATAAAAAAACAAATAAAGGATAACGCTAACCCTAAACAAAACAATAAAAATAAATAAATAAATAAATAAATAAATAAATAAATAAATAAATAAATAAATAAATAAATAGATAAATTACCTGGTAATAAGTATACAGCCCTCTCTGCATTAGATAATAATTGTATAAGTTCCCTCCAATGTAATAAAGAAGGAAAATGATGAGCAAGAACAAGAGAAAGAAAAGACATTTGTATTTCCCCTAATATATCCTGTATACCTTCGGGTGTATAGGCAGCTAATTGTAATAAAGTATCTGTTTTATCTATACAATGATATGTTAATTCTTTTGCTGCTGTTGCTGCTATTATTAATTCATCTTTTATACCTTTATTACGTGCTGCTGCTGCTGCTGCTCTTGCTGCTCTTACTGCACATGTTTTTGCTGCACTTATATCCATATAATACATCTTGCATGCAGCTGCTTCTGCTGCTTCTCTTAATTCTCTTGCTTTTTCTTCCTTCTCCTCCTCTGCTGCTGCTGCTGCTGCTCCTCTTCCTCCTCCTGCTGCTCCTTCTTCCTCATCCTCATCATCCATCCTCTTTATATCACCATAACCAATCTCTCCCTGCTGCTGCTGCTGCTGCTGCTGCTGCTGCTGCTGCTGCTGCTGCTGCTGCTGCTGCTGCTGCTGCTGTTTATATTTATTCTTTTTATTATTATTATTATTATTATTATTATTATTATATGTATGCTGATCTATATATTGTTGTTCTTGTTTAGTTAATGGCATTCCTTGTGCCTGTAGACATTTACCTATTGGCTCTACTCTTCTTACACAAGAAGAAGAAATATTATTTGTTAATTCCCTCCATTGTTTCCTCATTTGTTGAGGATATATACCTAAATAAAGAAAAAAATCACCATTATTTACTCCTATTATATAACGTATATTCTCTTCTTCTCCTATAGGTAAATAACGTCTAAGAGAACAAGACCATTCACGTATTATTATATTATTATTAGGGGTAAAATATATAAATTCCCCTCTTTGTCCTGTACTACCTATTGCCTCCTCTACACGCATACGTGTATATGTACAACCACCAGATGTATCTTTTATTCCCTCTTTTGTATTATTATTATTATTATTATTATTATTATTATTATTATTATTATTATTATTATTATTGCTGCTGCTGCTGTTGTTGTTGTTGTTGTTAGTAGTAGTAGTAGTAGTAGAGGAAGAAACAGACTCCGCTTCCTCTGTCCAATGAAGAAAATGACAACCATAATCAATTCCTCTTACTCCTCTAAATTTCTCTCCTACTCGCCATTGTGCCATGTCTAAACCTACAAGTAAATTACGTGGTGTTCTTAGCAGCAATAGAGTACAATTACCCTCACCATTGCTGCTGCTACTGCTACTGCTGCTGCTACTGCTGCTGCTGCTTTCGGAGCCGCCAGCAGGGGAATATGCATCTTCTTTTGAAGAATTCATTTATTTAGTATTATTTAAATGTATAATTAAAAAATTTCAGACAATATATCAACAACAAAACAAAGAAATACACAGAAAAATAACAATGATGGGTATAACAGCCCTTCAAATACATATAATGTATCGAGAAAAAGAACAAAAAACAACTCCCACAGACCTACAAATACAAATTAAAAGAATATTATTTAAATTAAATAATTTATTAATTCCCTTTTTGTTCTTTTTGTTGAACAACAACCATTTCAATTGACTCTCTTGACGCAATGCTTACCTAGGGGCCCCCACAGGGGGGCCCCCGTGCTGGGGGCCCGGAAGAAGAAGAAGATGACGGCATAAAACATACAATTTGTATAATGAGAAAAATTAAATAATTAAATCAAATAATTCAATTATTTAAATTCAATTTTGTTAATTTTTTTAATTTCTTCGCTATTTGTTTGCTTTATACCTCGACACGCTATGCTCGGTGGCTAATTACTTGCTTAGGTTTTGTAGTCTTTAGCCTCTACTGGGTCTTTTCCTCCGTTTTGTCCTTGTTTACAATAAAATATTGATTGTTTTAATTCATTTATTCATTTATTTGCTTATTTATTTATTTTTCTTCCCTATTTGTGCATTTTTTACTATAACTTCCCTGTGACATCCGTGTACGTGGCTGCACGTGCCGCCTAGGGGATGCATGCTACGACTGTTTTCCTGCCATTTATCCTAATCAACTTTCCTTATTTGTTTTATTTTTTACAATTATTTTAGATTAAATTTTGTTGTATAATTTATTTTGCTGGTTTATCTTGGCTTGTATTCTTAAATATGCAGTAATTTGTATTCTACTAGCTCCTTTTGCACAATTCTATAATGCGCGCATCTCCCTCCATCGCTTCGCCTCTGCTCTTTTGTTTATTTTTCTCTCCCTGTTTATCCTGCTACTCTGTTGCACACTTTCTGTTTCTATTTCTTTTATATTATTTATCTGCTAACATATAAACCCCTGCAGTATGCTTAGCAACAAGAAAAATCCTTTTAGCAATTTTCCTATAAAGTAAATAAATAAAATATTTTTTTTTTGTTTTTCTTTCCCTTACATGTCATATGTTGTTTATTTTTATTTGTTCCTTTAGAACAAATAAAATAAACAAGAGAGGCAGCAACGCCTCTCCCTCTCCTAAACAAAAGAGGCAGCAACGCCTCTCTCTTTTTCTTCCTGCCTATGTAGCGCGTTAATCAGCAGATGTCTAAGGGGAAAGGAAATAAACATATAATAAAGTACAAAAAGAACACCAATTATATATTTAATAACAATTGCAATAAATATATTATAATATAAAAACAAGTATAGACTAAATATTTTCTGGTAATATACAATACAACTAAATCGTACAAAGAAACAAAAAAAAAAACTAAATAAATAAATAAATAAATAAACAATAAATAAATAAATAAATAAATATATATAGACAGCCAAGAAAACAAACATCTGCTGCCCTTAGGCACGCAGCAAAACCCACAAAACTACATTCTTCTTGTAGGGGGGTTAAGAACGTGCAAAAAGAAGAAACGCCGTCAGGGCATTATTTTTTTCTTAATAAATAATAAATAAATGTATGTATATATTAATTTATTTATATATTTATATTTATATATACTTTTATATATATAAATATATATACAATAAAATAAATGTGCCTCTCTATTGTCATATTATATTTCCCTTGGGGAGCTATCGCAGCAAAGAGGAAGAAAAGGAAGATCTGCTGCTGCAGCATTATGCAGATTAGAAGCAAAAAGAGTAACAGGGTGACCCCATAGAAACCTTAAACCAGGAAGAGGCTCCTGCTGCTGCTCAAATTGCTCCTGCTGCAGCAGCATCTGATGCTCTTGCTGCTCCTGCTGCTGCTCCGTGCCTTCCACCAGTTGCTCATGCCCCTGAGGCTGCTGCTGCTTCTCCTCCTGCTGCTCTATTTGCTGCTGCTTTCCCTTTATAAACTGCGCCTTCGTCTGTGTAGAGGCACTCCCTGTAGCTGTCAACTTACCAGGCTGTAGGAAGACAGATGTCCCGTCTTTCTGCTGTTCCTGTTGCTGCTGCTGTTTCCGCTGCTGCTGCTGCTGCTGCTGCTGCTGGCCAAGAGGAGGCACACTAAACTTGTTGGGGTTGCTCACTTCTCCTTCTCTTTGCTGCACTTTGTCCTCTCTTCTCTCTTTTTCTTGTGAAGAGGCGCTTGGAGACTGTGGGGCCGTTGCTGTCATGCCGTCCCCGCAGGAACTTGGAGTAAACCGTTCTGCTGCTGCTGCTGCTGCTGCTGTGGCGTCTCCTTCCTTCTTTAGATACTCTGAGAGGCAATAATCCACACAGCGGCTGCTGCAGCCAGCTCGTTGCTGGTTTCCTCCTGCTACTGCTACTGCCCCTGCGCCGATAGCAGCAGCTAGTGCTGCTGTAGGTGCTACGTCCCCCACTGATTCAGCATAAAACTCGCCTCTTGATGCAAATCCTTGCTGCTGCTTATGATTTCGTTGTTGCTGCTGTTGTTGCTGTTGCTGTTGCTGCTGCTGTTGCTGTTGTTGCTGCTGGTGCCGCTGTTGCTGCTGCTGCTGCTGCCGTTGTTGCTGTTGCTGTTGTTGTTGCTGCTGTTGCTGCTGCAGCTGCTGTTCCTGCTGCTGTTGTTTTTCTCGCTGCTGTTGTTGCTGCTGTTGGTGCTGTTCTCGCTGTTGTTGTTGTTGCTGTTGGTGCTGCTCATGTTGCTGTTGTTGCTGCTGCAGAAGCTGCAGCTGCAGGAACTGCTGCTGCTGTGGGAGCCGATCACCACATGGTCGGGCTGGGCTTTCTTGAACGAGTTGTAGCACTGAGTGTTCGATGCTCAGAGGGCAGTCGCTGCTGCTGTCTCCCCAGCAGCTGCTAACAACAGAATCCCCCTGCAGCTGCTGGTGCAAGTGCTGTTGCTCTTGCTGCTCCTGATGCTGCTGCCAGTTTGCTGCTTCAAAGGGAAGCATACATCGCCGGCCGCTTTGCCAACCGTTGAATTGCTGCTGCTGTTGCTGCTGCTGAAGGTATTGTTGTGGCGGGGGCGGCATGCGTGTTGCAGTTGCTGGCTGCATTTTGTCTGCAGCAGCAGCAGCAGCTCCTTTTCTTGCTACTTTCGATATTCGGTTGTTGTACGGAGGAGAGAGGCAGTGGATGTTTTCGCTTCTTCTTTCTGATTCAAAGTTGAATGCCTCCTGCTCTGCCCAATCGCCGTCGCGCATAAATCCGCTGCTGGTGCTACCGCTGCCACTGAAGGTGCTGGTCCCACATCCTTGCTGTTGCAGATGGCGTTGCAGCGGTGTCTGCTGCTGCTGGTAGTGGTGCTGCTGCTGTTCGGAGAGGAGTTCTGGAGAGGGGACGTTCGGGTCTTGTGCGTCTGCCTGCCACCACGGACCAAGAGAACTTATCCCCTGCTGCTGGTGCTGGTGCTGCTGCTGTTGCATTTGCATTTGTTGGAGTTGCACTTGACTCCATGGTTTTGTTTGGTTGTGGTTGGGCTGTTCTTCTTCTTGCTGAGGTTCAATGGGGATGAGGGCTTTGAACTGCCAGATGCGGCTGCCGTTGAGGGGAGAGGGCTGGAAGCCCATGGGGCATTCTTTGTGCCTCCATACAACTGTTGCTTTCTTATGTAGCACAGCTCCCCTTGGCAGCAGATACTGCTTGGACTGAACATACGTGCAGTGTTCGTTTCCCTCTGGGGTGTAGAGGCGGTAGAAAAGGGAGAAGGGCTCCGATAGCAGCAGATCCTGCAGCTTAGGATGCCCGTACACCCCTGCATCCAGCCGCTCGTGCGTCGACCAGCGTATCAGATCCTTAAGTTGGGCTAAGAAAATCCCTAAGGGCTCTCCGTCAACTATGCGTTTCAGCACCCGCAGCAGGTGAGCAGTTGCTGCTGCGGCGGCGGCTGCTCGGTCTCCACTGGGATCGGGGCAGTGTCTCTGGAGGAATTCTTTTGCTGCTGCAGGGCAGGCAGCAACGGGAATAAGCGCTTTATCTCTGTATGTGAGCACACGACTCCAAGAAGCAAGTTGAATCATCCTAATTAGGTGGGCGAGACGCATCTTCTTGAATGCGGGGACTTCTTCCCGCAGGTGCTCGGCCAAGGCATATCGGCCTTCGGAAAAAGAAGACAGAGACGTGCTGCTTCCCTGGCGCAGCTTCTCTATAAAGTAACTGCAGTCACGCAAGCAGAAGGCACGCAGGCAGCACAGGCAGGAGAAGCATATCAACAAATCCAAGTGCAACATAACATTAAAAGCAGTGGCAATGTGCTACAGTTGAATAACAAGGTTTCAAAATATGCTTAAGAGAAGAAAGCAAGAAACACAGACATTCACAACAAAGCCGGCAAACCCTGAATATCCGTTAGTCTTCCTTTTCTCTGCAGCATGCAGAAGGTGGAAGTTAAGGGCTAGCTACGTAGTGGCAGTGCAGGTGGCAGAGAAGACAGCCAATATACAGAAACTCTGCTATCCGCATGCATGCATGAGCTGATGGCTGCAGTGTTTTACTTGTTGAACTCTATCCACTGTTCTTGGGAGTAGACGTTGTCTTTGGCTCGGGTGTCTACAAATCCTTTGAACTCTGGCGGTTCTTTTTGTTTCTTCAAGAGAACAACCCATCCGTCTTCTCCCTTTACTCTTCTTTCTATCTTAGCAAACACTTCTGGGGTCGTCATAGCAAGCCCTACGACCTCAGAAGGCAGCCACGCGGCTGCTTCAGTACGTTTACGCAGCTGATGGGCTATTTCCCCTGCAAACGGCTTGATGCCTTCTCGATACAGGAACTGTACGCAGCTTAGCAAGGCCTCTTGCAGACTCTGCAGGGCTCTGGGGCCTCCCTCGACTAGACAGCAGCAAAGGGCTGAGCCCTCCAGCCGCGGTAAAATACACCCACCTGACAACCTCCATACATCTACCCCTGCTACTCTTTGGCGCTGCAGTTCCCGTTGGTAGCCCCTGTTGACGGCTCTAAATGTATTGTCTGCAAGAGGCAGCAGACACAGACTGTTCAGGGGATACGGCAGACGGCGGCAAGCGTCTGCAGGGCTGCTGCTCAGTACACCCGGCACGGTACAGCAGGAAGAACCACCAGCACCACCACCAGCACCACCAGCAGCAGCACCGGCAACAGTGCCAGAACAACCAGCAGCACCACCAGATGCAGCAGATGCAGAAGCAAAACTCTTCCGAGACCCACAACCCTGCACCAACTCCAACTGTTGCAGGTAATGAGCACCTGCACCTGCCTTTCTTAAAGCAGCAGCAGGAGCACACATATGTGCACCCTGCTGCTGACGCTGCTGTCGAACAGCTGCGCGTTGCTGCTGTTGCTGTTGCAATAAACCCGGCTGATGCTGCTGCTGAGCCTGCTGTACCTGCAATTGCTGTTGCTGATGCTGATGCTGCTGCTGATGCTGGAGCGGCTGCTGCTGCGAGTGCTGCTGGTATTGCTGCTGCTGCTGCTGGTGCTGCTGTTGCTGATGTTGTTGCTGCCTCGGGTTGCTCTCCGCAGCAGGCGGAGGTGGCAGCGGCGGTGTTGGAATTTGTCTCTGAAATACAAATGGACTCACGGGCAACTCAACAGGAGGTCGAGGACCATTAGAAGGTCTGCAGCGCCTCTGCGGAGGTGTACAAGGAGGAGACTGGTGCTGATGCGGCTGCTGCTGCGTGTGCTGATGCTTGTGATGGTGCTGCTGCTGCTGACGAATGGCCTTAGAAGGGTTTCGGAGAGGCCGTTCAGCAGCAACTGCTGGCCTAAAAGTGTCGGGCGAATGAGCATAGCGCAGGTTGGGAGGGCGAATAAAAGAAGACAGGCAATTCGCTGATGTCTCTGCAGATCCACCGTTAGGGTTTCCTCCGCTGTTGCTGTCGCTGCTCCCGCTGCCGTTGCTGCTGCTGCTTTCGCTGCTGCTGTCTGCTTCCTGTACAGGCTGCAGCTTCTGGTTGCTGCCAGAGGGTGCTGTCAAGATATCGTCCGAAGGGGCCAAAGGCTGTCCTGTTTGGGCTGTCCCTGCAGGCACAGCAACAGACTCGCTAGTTTTGATGCTGCTGCTGTTGCTGCTGTTTGTTGCAATTCGACCGCTTGCTTCGTCTTCTGGTTCGAGAATTGTAGTGAGGTTATATACCTCCGAGAGGGCGGGGAAAGCTGCTGCGTAGGAAGCGGACTGTCTGCCGAGCTGTTGCATTTCAAGGGTTTATTTGCCTTTTCTCTCTGCCTAAACCCTCTTATTCTTCTCGTGGTGGAAGTTCAAGAGGATATGAACTAGAGACCTGGCGAAGGATCGAGCCCACGGGCGAAGGGAAAAGGTGATAATGGAGCGAAATGGATTTCAAGAAGGAAAAGGAGAGGAGGAAATCAATTAAGCCAAACACAAACAATAAAACGGTACAAAACAAGAAAAGATTTGCAGAGCAATATAAGCCTTACAAAAAACGGCGACAAACCTCGGTTATACCTGCAGCCCTTGGTACCCCTCTTTGGGGGTATATTGGGAGAATATTTTCTTTGATGAGTCCCAAATTATTGCGAAAAGCCAAAACAAAGAAAAGGTGAAGTGAAGAGGCTGAGTAAATGGGAATATTTTCAGTGAATGCTGCGACGAGGTCAGTCAACTGAACGACGGGGAAACGGGTACTTAATTCTGCCTCAAGTTTGGCAGGAATTCGGCAATAGGGAGGTCGAAGTAATTGCGAGACAAACTCGAGAAAAAAAGAAATACTGATCAATTTAGATCAACAAAACCCCGAAAAACGCAACACTGCGTCAATGACCGCCGGGAGTGTCGGCGGGTGCAAGTGACCCAACCCAATATCGGATAGCCGAACCACTGGTTCTTGTTACATTTTGGTTGTCTTGGGTTTAACAATTCCTGAACTCAACAGGTATTTAAATTTGCAGATGCATTAGATTTATTTTAATCGATCTAAATGCCTCCAGTTCAACTCTTTTGAGCAGAAATCGCACGTTTCCTTCATTACAGCTGTCCCTGACACGAGCAGCTGATTTCCACTGCGGCGTGCCGTTGTATTCTTCTGATTAACTCCCCATAATATCAATTCAACAAATATATTATGGACCATAAAGCAAAGATAACAGAACTCTCGTAATTTTGGTGAAAAATGACAAACGGTCACGCCGACAACACACACTCGAGTGCAGGGGGATCAGAAAGGTTTCCGCTTTCTCGGATTTCAACGCTCAATAGTAGAACAAATTATTTCAACGGAAGCAAAACTAATCGTTAGAAATCCATTTGCAGTGTATTAGGAAAAGCCCTGAGCAACCGATATCCTGCTGAAAGCAGTACTAAGGACGCATGCTACTGCCCGTATTTTCCCATCATGACACAGCCCCTGGTAGTCTGTCTCGTATACGATGAAACAATGTAACGTCAGTTCTAAGCACGTCAACTGTAGACTCCTAAGTAGCTAAGCTCTCAGACTAAACCGTGAACCCTACGCCACAAACGATGGAACCTGTATAAAAATATATAACTAACTAACTAATTCGGTCGTGCCGTTGCTGCTGCTGTTTAGCTGCTGCAGGTCTTTCTTGTGTGCTGCATTTGACATTTTAATTCAGCCAGGTTTTGCTTGGCGATGCAGCAAAAGCTGCATGGAGATGCAAATGGGCAAGAAGGAAGGAGCCACAGATCTATGCAGACTCCAGCGCCACTGTCTTTATGTATACAACACTGCGGACATAGAGATAAACTGATTGTTCAACTAGAGTGTATATCATTAGAGCGATTTGTGCTTCAGCTCCAGTGTGCGTACAGCCCAAACCCGAATCCTTTAGAGCAGGTTTCGACTGGCCATTAAGGGCTTATAACCCCTCTCTCGAAGCATCCCCAAGTAACGCAAACGTTCGCCAGAGAATGCGAACTGGAAATCACAGGCACAGAGGAAAACCCTAAACCCTAAACCCTAAACCCTGAGGTCTAGCGTTCAATTTTGTTTTGAGGCAAATGGCCCAACTTTTTCCATCTGATTAACTAAATGTTCTTATTTTATCTCCGAAATAACAGCATTTTTAATTTTTACAAAGCCAGCATGCCTCTCTTACCTCAACACATGCACCGTCTGTAATGAACACCGCAGGCCAAACCTCTCCTCGAATACCTGTAGAAGGCAACAGACCCCCCAATGCGAGTAAAAAACGCTTAAGTAATATAAATACCGTAAACAGCAATATATTTGTGATGTTTGCCCAAATAAACAGATACCAAGATACGGCTGCCACTGGCCCTTCCACTCTGTATGCTGCATTTCACCGTTGCTGTATTTGTTTGGTTCTTTTTGAACTATCTTTCTTTGATACCGCATTAATTTCGCTTGCTTCACTAATTTGTTGCACTTATATTAATCATGGTTTGTTGTGCGCTCTTCTAACCTGACTTCGCGGACGCCGAGAGACAAATACCGTTCAAGAAGAAAGCAACGCGGGCAGGAGTGTCCGATTGATCCACTGCGCAGCCCTGCTCGAAAATGCAGGAAAAAACAATGCGACTATGCAGAACATGAAAATCAACTATACAAAGGAACAGAAATTTGACAGTGATGAAGCGGAAACACGCAAGAACAATGAGGAAGAACGAAATGCCAAATAAGAATGCAGATCTTCGGAATAACACAACAGAAAACATGGAAATCCGTAAACGCACAGGAAATACGAAAACAAGCAAACTGAGATACGATAAACCATAAAAGTCTAGCAGCCCTACACCCGAAAATGCAAACCCTTGCTAGCCAGGGTTCAGTGTTTGTGGTTGGGGCCAGTATACCCAGCCATTTACACAGCCACAGAAAGGCGGAAGTCTAAGAGCTAACAAAACAAATCGGTTAAACCCCAAGCCCTAAACCCTAAACCCTAGGAGTAGAATCAATTGACAACTTACTATTACATCGCCGGCCTCAATTGCTGGTCCCTCCTCACCACCAAGAGAAGCCATCCAGCTGCACGCAAACCCTAAACCCTCGACAATATGGTATCAACCGAAGCACCAAGACTGTGGATTTTCAACCCTTAACCCTGAACACTAAACCCGAAAGCCTAATAGCCCCTAGTGCATTGTCGCGGACCATCTGTCCTTGCTGCTGAGAATGGAAAAAGAAGAAAACTCTTCTGGCTGAGGAAAGCGGCAAACGCCAACGGCGATACTTCCGGGGTTCAAGACCAAAACTTCTAAAAAATAAAAACGCAAGCAGAGAGACAAGGACAAAGAAGATACAATAAAAGCTAGAAATAAAACAAATTAAAAGTATTAAACAGGAAATAAAGACGCGCAGAGCCGCAGGCTATTAACTTTAGCAGGATAATCTACTGCATGCAGCACTGGATACTGCTGTTTCTGCCTGACGCGGCTGCTGCTTGGATCGCTGCTGCTGTTACACTGGGCATTGCTGCTGCTGCTGCTGTACTGTCTTACGCTGCTCCTGCTGCTGCACTGGCCCCAAAAGCACCTTGTTCCTGGCAATGATGGAAAGGCCACAAGCTGTAAAACCTAAACTAAACAGGCCGTCTTACCGAATAAGCACTTGTCCTGATCTATTGGAGTGGTTGCAAGTGCAATCCCTTTTCCATCAATAACAAGTTTCTTTATCGATAACCCCTCAGATTGGGTCCTGCGGTGTACGTACAACCCACACTAGAAGGATGCTAGTCCCACAGGCTTGCTGCTGGCCTGACTGCTGATACATACACTCACCCACATAACAGCAAAATGCACAGCAGCACCAGTAGCAAAAGCAATAGCACCACCAACGAGAGCAGCAGCGTCAGTGGTTGCAGCGTCTGCAACAACTGTGCGAATAACAGCAGAAGCCGCCAGAACAGAAGAAGTTGCAGAAGCAGCACCAGCAACAAATACAATAGCAAGCAAAAGCAGCAAAACAAGAAGAAAGACAACAACAACAACGAACAAACCAACAACAAAAATTTACAACAGCAACGCAGCAAATAGCAACAGCTGCAGCAACCGCAACAGCAGAAGCAGCTTATTCTGACTGCATAGAGATGCCTTGGTTTGAGAATTTATCTTTGCTGCGAATATCCCTAAGAGAAACTGCACCTTCTTCCATATTTTCTGCTGCTGCTGCTGCACTGTCTCCTGCATCTGTCCCCGCCCCAGCGGCTGCACGTCGTCGCAAGCAGCACTGCCGCACTACGGGAATGTGTCTTGCTGCAGCTCCTGCTGCAGCAGCAATCGTCAGCAGCACAGCCACAATACACCTGAACATTGCATGGGGCTTTGGCCCCTCAGCAACAGCAGCATAACCATTGCGGGAACCTTTCATTTTGCTGCACCGCTTCCTGCTGCTGTTGCTGCGGGTGCTGCAGTTATTACTGCAGTTGGTTTTGCTGGTCTTGTAGTTGATACTCTTGCAGGTGTTGTTGTTTCAGCTATTGCTGCTGCAGCTCTTGCCGATGCAGCTGTTGCTGATGCAGCTGCTGCAGCAGCAGCAGCGACTGTGGTTCTTGCACGTGTCCCGTCAGGTGCGTCTACTGATGGTGTTGATATCCCTGCTTTCCTTCTCTTGCTGTTACTATTGTCGCTGCCGTCTATATCGCGGCTTCCGCTGCTTCTTCTGCTGTTGCTGCTGCTAGAGAAGCGGTATGCGTTTCCACGTGTGCAGCGGGGTCAATCCCTGCTTTTCCCCAGAAATTTGAGTGTAAATAAGCAGTCTAATTCAGGGAAGTCAATCTTGAAAAGGGGGAATCACATAAAAGGGGAAAAGGAGAGGGTGGTCCACTGGGCCGCGTGGGAAGGTGCGAGGCTGTTTGAGTGTATGTGCACCTTCTTTGAAAGCATGCATGCGTGTGCTGAGCCAATAAAAATAAGAATGAAACAATAAATAATGAAAGTGAAGGAAGACAGGGGCAGTGTCATTCAGGTGCATGTACGCCGCACACGAGAAGCACAGCTGTCGGCTGCTGGGGAGGCGCCACTGAAGGTCTCCCGTGTGTCTCCAGTTGACAAAGAATAGTATACTAATATATTTAAATTTAAGCCTTAACTGCACAAGTTGTATGTTGTTTTATTATGCTTCTATTTGATTCGCAAAGGTCGCTTCCCTTTCCTGAGCAGCTGCTCGTCCTCCCGCCGCTGCTGCTGTCGCTGCTGCTGCAGCTGTGGTGGGGCCCCCCCAGGAGCCTAATGGCAGCCGCTGCTCTTCTTGCAGCCTTTGCGTTCGTTGGGAAGGTATATTTTGTTTCTTTTTAGATGAATTCACTTTATTCTTTCGCTGAACCCTTCAGAGCCGCATATACACCCGCTGCTGCTACGTGCTGCAGTTGCAGCAATACCCACATCCAGCAATTTGCTGCTGCTGCGGTGGTAGTTGCCGCTTATTTTAGCCTTGCTGCTGGAGCGGCAGGCGGGTTTGTAGTTGTCGTTGTTGTTGCTGCACTCTCAGCAGCAGCAGCGACTGCAAGAGCAGCAGCGGCGACTGCAACAGTAACAGCAGGGACGGGGACAATATCAGCAACGCCAACAACAGCAGCAACAACAGCAGCAGCAGGAGTTACATCAATAATAGCAACAGCAGCAACGGCAATAACACAGCAGCAGCAGCAGGATGGCAGTTCCTAAGGGGAAGAGGAGTGCTTCTCTTTGCCGCAAGCGGCAGTATATTGTCTTTTGCGATCAGCTCGATGGGAATTACAAAAGAAGAAGGGAATGGTTTTACAGGCATAGCTACACCTCTCCTGTTGCGCCTCTCAAGCATCTTAAGGAAAGGAAACTGCTGCCGCAGCAGCAACATCAGCAGCAAAACCCTCTACCATCCGTACTCCATCAATTCAGATTCCCAGGGTTTTGGACAGGGAGGTGGGCATCGTCTACAGCTGCTGCTGCTCCCTTTTCTGTTGCTTTTGCTGCTGGTGTCGCTGTTGCCATTGTTCTTCTGCTGTTGCTGCTGTGCTGTTGTTGCTCCCGCCATTGCTGTTGTGCCGTTAATGCTGTTGTTGCTGCTGTGATTCCGTGCGTAGTTGCACACATTAACAACAGTAGCAGCAGCAGCAGCATTACCAGCTGCAGCAGTAGCAGTAGGAAATGCTTGCTTTTGTTTGCTGCTTCAGGTTTGTCTTTGAGAAGGCAATAAAGTTCATTAAAAAGTAAAAGGGTTTGCTGCTGCATCATTAAAAAATGCAGCTGCAGCACCTGCAGGCCTAGCTGCAGCGGCTGCAGCAACAGCAGGTGCAGCATCAATAGTAGAGAACATTTTTTCCTTGGAGGGATCATTTTTTTGTCTGAACAACACCAGGCTAATAATGTTTTAGGGTTTAGGGTTTAGGGTGTATGGTATGATGGCATGCTTGCTAAACCCCAAAAGCCGAGGTTTAAGATGTAGGCACGAGTGTTTTGTAATTGTTTAGGGTTTAGGGTTTAGGGTTCATTAGTTAGGGTGGTTTAGATTTGAGTGGTTAGGGCCTAGTGTGTAGACATAAGGGTTTATGGCTTAGGTAGGGTTTAGGGTTTAGAGTTTAGGGTTTAGGGTTTCGGATGTGTGTTGTGTTAACACATGCGAAGCAGTCTAAGTGTATATTTTCACCTCTTTCCTTTAAAAGCACAACCATATATATTTATAATTATATTTGTAAATATAACGGTGTTATTATGTATAAATGTCTTACGTAGTTATTCGTGTATTGACGTCTTGCAGTGTGTACACAAACACAATAAAACAAACGACAAGCGTCACAAGGTGTATGTACACCTCGTTTAATATAATGTAGACATGTTAGGTTAGTGTTCTAAAGCCTTCAATGCAGCTTTCTGCTGCTCCGTGGGAACGAGCAGTAGCAGCAAAGGCAACGGCAAATGCGGAGCTCTGTTGCTGCTGCTGCTGCTGCTTTTGCTGCTGCAGCAGGTTCTGCAGCGGCAGCAGCAACAGGTGCTTGTCTCTGCATGCATCGCATAGGCGTCTGCTGCCTGCTGCAGCAGCGCAACGTTAGCAGCACCTTCTCTGTCGAGCTGCAGAGTTGCTGTTCCAGCAGCAGTTCCGTCGGCAGCAGCAGCAACAGCACCAGAGTGCAGCACAAGAGATCGCCGCAGCAGAAGTTTAGCCTTTAGAGAGGTGGTTATACATTCTACATGATGCCGTACTGCAGCAACAACAGCAGGCCCTGCTGCTGCAGCAGCGGACAGAAGCCGTGCAGCAGGAGGCAAGCACAAGGAGCCCAACAGAAAGAGAAGGGGAGGAGCACCCCCAGTGTTGCTGCAGCAACCTCGTCGAATACTGCAGTTACTGCTAATATTGCTGCTGTTGTTGTGTTCGTTGTCGTTGCACCTGGTGGGGGTGCACCTCCTGTACTTGTCGTTGCTACTGGCGCTGCTACTATTAAAGCAGCAGCAACAAGAATGTGTGTGTCTGACGACGTGAGGGTAGAAAGTATAAACTGCCAAAAGCTGCAGCAATCGCGCGAGGAGGATAGGGGGAGCAGCAGAAAGTGGCAGAGAATACAGCGACAGCTGCAGCAGCAAGAAGCTGTAGTCCTTACACCGCTGATACACTTGCTGGTGGCGCTGCTGCTGTTGCTGCTGCTGGTCTTGTTGCTTCGGTTGCTGCTGCTCTAGCATCAGAGGAGGGCAAGCGGGGCGTGCTCTGAGGGCCTCCACAGCAACAGAACACAGGAGGAATTGCCTTGTGTGGGGCTGTTCTTGCTGCTGCTGCTGCTGTTGTTGTTGCAGCACGCGCTTTGCGATAGCAGCAGCAGATGCTTCGGCGACCGACCAGAGAGTAGAAAGGACGGCATAGGGAGAGGCGTGTTGCAGCAAATCAAATTGCAGCAGCTGCAACAGCTTCTCTTCTTCTGACAACAAAACTGCTGCTGTCAGCAACACCTCCAGTGGCTGGACTGCAGCACGAGCATGTGCTGCTGTTGTTGCTGCTGCTGGTGACGTTGGCGCTGTTGCTAATGAAGTCGGCAGTGCTGCGTTCGACTCAGGAAGCATATTAGGGGTCTCGGAATTGCAGCAACCTAACCACTGCAGCAAATCGTTCGCCTGTTGCTGCTGTTGCTGTTTCTCCTGTTCCAGCTGCCCCCGCTGCTGTCTTAGTTCGTGTTGCATAACGAGCTCATGGGTAATGCCTTGGAATACTTTCCGTGTGGGGTATTTGCTTTTGTTGTTGTTGCTGCTGCTGGAAACATCGACTGTGTCAGCAACGGTGGCTGCTGCTGCTCCCACTGCAGCAGTCAGCTGCTTGTTGAAGGCATTAGCTGCGGCAACAGCAGCAGCAGCAGCAGCAGCAGACTCCGCATACGCAGAAGCATTATTTGTTTTGTAATACTCTTGGCTTCTCTCCACAAACACGTCGGCGACCTTCGCAGCAGCAACTGAGCAGCAGCAAAGCCGCTGCAACACAGGCTTTGGGCAGACTGCTGCTGCTGCTAGGTGCAGCAGCAGCAGCTCTAACGTCTCCTGCTGCTGCGCTGCTGCTGCTGCTGCTGATTGTACTGCTGGGGCATGCTGCTGCAGCCAGCCTCCACCGTTAATGCATGAAGGCTTGCGCATTTCGGGGGTTAGTTGCTGCTGCTGCTGTGGACAGCAGCGGCACGAGTCAAACTCATTGTTGCTGCTACTGCTGCTGCTGCACACCTTTGGATGAAAGGGCGTGCTGCATGCTGCTGCTGCTGCTGCAGTTGTTGCTGCTGTTTCTTTTGTTGTTGAGGCTGCCTCAGGATGGGGCCGCTTGCATAGGGTGCTACTTTCTACTGCTGTGTCCTCACTGCAATTGTTGCTGCTGCTGCTGTCATATCCGCTGCTGGTGCTGCCGCTGCACCGAGTGCTGTCACTGTGTTTTAGACCACTAGTTCCTGTTATTGCGGCTGCGACAGCACGCCTGCTTTGCAGGGACATTGGCAGCACTGACAGCATTCGCCGCTGCTGCTGTTGATGCAGTTGTTGCTGCAGCTGTTGCTGCTGCTGTTGCTGCTGGTGCTTCTGGTGCAGCAGAGTCAGCTGCAGCTGCAGCTTCCCAGCCTCGCACTTGTGCCGAAGGAGATGCATCGCCGTTTCTTCCACAAGCTGCTGCTGCAACACGACGTGTACATACACTGCAGCCAGGTGCAGCGTCTGATGCTGCAGCTGGAATTCATGTTGCAGTCCAATTAGAGTGTCCATCTGCAGCAGCAGCAACAACAACAACAACAGGAGCAAGCACTTACGCCAGACCGCGATAGGAAGAATGGTTTGGTGAAGGTATGGAGTAGCAGCAAGAACAGCAGCAATATCAACATCAGCAGCAGAGGCAACAGCAACAACAGTAGCGCAGGGAACAGGAAGGGTGCGGTAGCCGAAACTGACAGATATTTCAAAAAAAGGTAGGAGCAGTCTTTCTGCTTCCTCCCATAAATTGTTGCACTGTTCTTGTTGCTGCTGCTGTTGCTGTAGCAGCAGGTGTGCTTGTTGTTGCTCCTGGCGTGCATTGACAACACTTGTGTTGTTTTTCTTCATCTCCACAAGCAGCCGCCGTTTTGCTGCGGCCTCATTTTGCTGTCGCTCTTTGCTACGATAGCAGCATTCCCGTGCCAGATTAACGATAGTTGACCAACACGGGATCCCAACGCTGCTGCTGTTGCTGCTGCTGGTGCGCCTGTTGCTGGTGTTGTTGTTACTGCTGCTGCAGGTACTGATGCTAGGACTGCACTTTTCGCTAGAAGCTGTCTCGTCCTCCCTGCTGCTGCTACTGACGGTGCTGCAGCAAATATTGTTGCTGCTGCTGACGGGGCTGCTGCTGCTGATGCTGCTGGTGCTGTTGCCGCTGCTGCTGCTGTCGCTGCGTTTGGCGCTTCGGTTGTTCAAGCTCCCGCAGCACTCTCGGGGCGTTGAGTTTGGCGCATGTGGTGCTGCTTCTGCGGCGGCTGGCCACGCTGGCCCTCCACCAGCAGCTGCAGCAGCTGCGGTTCGTGCTGCGCACCTTGCTGCAACCGTCTCCAGGCGGCTTCTGTAAGTCTCTACGGCTATGCAGTGCTGCAGCAGCTCCAGAGCACTGTCTGTTCAACATTAGCAGCAGCAGCAATGAATTCCCACAGCAACAACAGAAAAAGCATCAGCTTCCGTACTGAAGGCAATATCACGCAGCACCTTCAACAGAATCATGAGCACCAGCAGCAGTGGTAGCAGCATCACAAGTAGCAGCAGCAGCACAAGCAGCAGCAGCAGCACAAGCAGCAGCAGACCTGCTGGCAGCCGTTGTGTTCTGTCGATTGTCAGGGTTTGCTGCAGCAGCAGCAACGGCCCAGAGCCAATCAACCTCCCGAAGTTCAGCAAAGTTTTCTCCGATTCTGTAGCCTCCTCCTCCCTCAGCCCTGTTGCTGATGCTGTTGTTGCTGCTGTTGCTGCTGTCGGTGCTGCCGCTGGTAATGGAGATGCAGGAGCAGGGTGCGAGGGCGAGGTGCTGCTGCTGCTGCAGTGTCGCTTCTCCACCACTTTGAGCTGAGCCTCCTGTACCAATCGCAGCAGCTGCTGCAGCTGTTGCAGTTGCTGCTTTTCGCCTGGAGTCCCATAGTTGCTGATGGAGGCTCCCCATTGCTGCAGCAGCTGCTGCTCCTCATGCTGCAGTTGATGCAGCATTTGCTGCCAACGAGGGGCTGGCCATAGAGGCAGCATCTCGAGCCACATCATCGGGTAGACTGCCGCAGCAGCCTTCTCCTCCAAGATTTCTCTTTCCTCATCACCCTGCAGAATCATTGGCTGCTGCTGCTGCTGCTGTTGCTGCAGGGGGCCAAGGATATGCATCCACTGCTGCTTTGTTACAGGAGTTCCTACAAGGCGGCAGCACTCGATAAAATGCACGAGTTCGCTGCTGCAGCAAAAGGGAGGTTCACATGTAACCAACTCAAAGAAGACAACAGCAGCAGACCACACATCCACCTCATACCCGTACTGCTGGTACTGCTGCTGTTGCTGCTCGCGGAGCAGCAGCAACTCTGGAGCCTTGTACGGTAATCGTTGACTCTCCCGAAGCGAACGCTCTCTGTCGCGAGGGTCTGCAGCAAAGGGCAACTAAGAAAGCCAGTAACTAGGGTTTAGGGTTCAGGAGAAATTATAACTTAGGGTGTGGGCGGAATGACGGTTTAGGTTTTGTGGAGGTGAGAGAAAGGCATGTGTGGGGTTTCAACAGATAAACACAATATTAGCAGCAACAGGAGCAGCAGCAGTAGCAGCAATTCTTTACTCTCGGGTGTCAGTCGGACGTCTTGAGCGAGGAAGCGGCCCATAGCGAAGTCGCTCAATTTTATTTGTGGAGCCCCAACAGCAGCGTCAAAATACTCAAAGGGAGAGGAGCAGTTGGCTGCTGCTGCTGTTGCATCTTTGCACACCGAGCACCCATGCGCTGTTGCTGCTGTTGCTGCTGCTGCTACTGCCGCCGCTGCTGCTGCTGCTGTTGCTGGGGATGGAGACCGCTGATATGCAAAGAGAGGAGTCATAAAACGGGAGTAAATCATCAAAGCTGCGCGCATGCCCACAAATATCCTGCGGAGGTGATGAAGTCTACGCTGGTGCTGTCGTTGCCCTTATGCCTGTACGCCTACAGGGCAGCCACAGCCCAGCTCTCAGTAGCAGCAGAAGAACCAGCAACATCAACATCGGGGAGCCAGCATCAACGACAGCAGCAGCAATGGTACATGTGATAAGCAGCAGTAGCAGCGCCGACTACTGCTACTTAGCAACAGCTAGTACAGCAAATGGGTAACACACGCAGTTAAGCAGCAGCATCAGCATCAGCAGCAGTGGAGTAGCAGCAGCAGGAAGGGCATGAGCATCTTCTAAGGTGTTAGAGAATCAAGCCCAGCAGCAGCAATTGAACAATCCCAGAGCTCCAGTTTCAGCCGCAGCATCAGCTGTAGAGGAAGCTGCAGCTGCAGCAGCTGCAGCAGGTATACGGGTAGACTGACCCTTGGTAGTAGTTGAGATGGCGACAGCCGGGTGTACATAGTGGTGTAGTGCAATTAAAATGTTGTCGGGTTTAATATTTCTATGGACAATCTTTTGTTGATGGACAAAAACTAAAGACTGCAGCAAGCCCTCAAAAAGGCGAAGAGCGACCCAACGGGAAAAGTGTGAACCCCCCAATGACAGACATTCCGTATCCTGCAACTCCTGCATGTAGCAGCAGCGGCAGCAACAGTATCAGCAGAGCAGATACTCAAACAGGTTTAAGGACTGATGTTGAGGCACAGGCTTAAGGCCCGAACCTTCCAGCTGTTGGGTCCTGAGACTTAGTGTATAGGGTTTAGGGTTTAGAGTTCAGGGTTTAGGGTTTAGGGTTTGGGGTCTGCTTACCCTCCAAAAGGACTTCAGGTTTCTACGATGGAATTCAGTGCAAACATGGAGCACGCCATCCTTCAGCTCAGCACCGACGTATCTCACGATGGGTAGCTCTTGCTGCAGTTGCTGCTGTTCTTGCTTTTGATGCTGGTGCTGTTGTTGTTGCTGCTGCAATTGTTGTTGCTTCTTTCGGTAGTACTGGCAGTGGAAAAGACGGTCACCTTTACCGTGGAAAATGTTGCTGCCGCTGTAGACAGCAACAACGTTAGCAACAGCAGCAAATGCATGCTGCCGCTGCAGCAACTGCAGCAGAGACAATTCACGCAGAAGTGAGGCGGGAACCCCATCGTTGACGTCTGCGTTGCAGACTTTTAAATTGACAGACCGAATGGCCACTGGAGACAGCAGTCCCACTCCTCTGTTGCTGATGCTGCTGGTGCTGCTGGTGATTCTGTTGCTGCTGCTGCCGCTGCCGCCGGTGAGTTGTTGCAACGCGTCGAAGACATATTGTTGTTCCTTTCGTTGCTGCTGCAGCAGCAGCATTGTGGGTATGAAACCTGCAAAGACTCTGCCTTTGCTCCTTCTCTCGGATATTCCTTTGCTGCGAGTTGCTGCAGCAGAAACAATGCCCTCCTGCAATGACACGGACAGCCACGAGCTGCTGCTTAACACCGCTTTCCTTAAGCAACGGCAAACTCTTGAGAGGGAACAAAGAGACTCCCATCCTCCAACAAAAGGCAAGATGGAGTCAACAAACCGACAAAGGAATGCCGAACCTGCAGGTGCCGCTCCGGTAGCTGGTGCTCCTGCTGTTCCTGATGCTGACCCAGTTGATCGTTTTGCGGCTGCTCCTGCTGCTGCTCCTGTTGTTCCTTCTTCTGATGCCTCTGGTTCTGTTTCTCCTGGTGAGTTTAACTCCGCAGAGACTGATAGTGTCTGTGTGATTACTGCTGTGCCTGCGCCCCCCGCTGCTGCTGCTGCTGCTGCTGCTGCGGTAGATGCTCCAGCTGCTGATTTTGCTGGCGATTGTGCTTCTGCTTCTGCCGCTCTGCATGCCCCTGTTGCTACAGAGGGTAATTTCGAGGAAACGCTTATAGGAGATTTGCCGCATGGAGATACTGTCTCTGCATCGCTACAGCTGCTGCTGCCAGAGGAGCTGTCGCTGCTACTGCTGCTGCTGGTGCCGCTGCTGTCTCTGCTGCTTCCGCTGCGGCTGCTGCTGCCATGGCGGCACGGACGATGCCTGCGACGGTGCCTTTTTACCGAATGCCTGAATCGTAAAAAGGAGCAGCGGCTTCTACTCCCGATGTTACTCCTGCTGTTGTTATTGCTGCTGCCGTTGCTGATCCTGCTGCAAGTATTGCAGCTACAAGTACTGCCGCTGCATGTGCTGCTGCCGCAGCTCCTGTTGTTACTGGTGTAGTTCCTGGTGGTGCTGAGTGCGTTTCTGTCGGGCACTGAGGAACAATAACACACGCTAGTCGCGGTAGGATGTTCTGAGTATGCTATATGTTCGATCATCCCATTGCTGTCGCATATGCAACTGCAGGTGTGGCTGCTGCTGCTGCTATGGCAGCGGGGAGACTGCAGCTGGGGAAATGACCCATTTTCTCGAGCGCCATTTGATTGTTGCTCATCCGAAGGCTGTCTTTGTGCTGTGGTTGCTGATTCAGCTGTCAATCGAGTTGGTGCGGCTGCTGCTGCTTCCGCCGTTACGCGTGTCCCTGCAGCTGCTGCTGTACCTGACTGCTCTCTGCGGCTTCGCTTTGACCGTAGGCGCCTTGCAGGGAGATGTGCGGTAGGAGGGTTGCTAGGAGGGGGTTTGAAGTCTTGTGAAGCTGCAACCCGTGCTGCAGAAGAAGTTACAACAGGTGCTGCTACTGCTGCTGCTGCACTTCCAGCATGTTCCTCTCGTGAAGGGCTTGACGGGAGGTTTGATGCCTCGCTGTTGCTGGGGCTGCTCAGGCTGCTGCTGCTGCTGCTGCTGCAGTTTGGTGACCTGTACCTTTTGCTGTTTCTGTACATTTCATTTGATAGGAGGGCCATAGGAAAGACGAAAGTGTGCCCTTCTGTCGCTCCTCTGCATGGATGGACGCCCCGATATACAGCGAACCACCCAAGACTGCAGAGTCGGAATAAATCAACTTGTTTATTTCATTTTACAGTTTAGTGAAAAAGTGCAACGAGAAGCAACTAAGGGAGAGAAGCTGCCGCTCTTGCTCTTGCCGTTGTTTGCAAGTTGGGGGTCGATCGGAGAGCCGTCTTCCGGGTTCATCCGAGGCTTCATAGAAGATTAATGGTTCAAAATCAACTTCCACTGCACATTTAACAATTAGGAACCTTTTCTAATAAGACACAACTAGTTGGGGCTGTTTAAGAAAGCCTCAAGTCGCGCGGGGCGGCTGTTCTGCACCGGCGGTCAGGCGGTGGTCGGGGTGGTGGAGGGTGGCGCATAAGGTGGAAACACTGCTATAAATGTGCAGAGCGAATGACAATTTAAACACAAAGACTGAAAACAGCAATTATTTTCATCGTATCGAAACCAAATACATCAGATTTGGCCGGCACTGGATTAGCGTCCCGGTCGGCACAAGTGACCTGGTACTGCCACAAGAAAAACTGAGGCTCTGGTCCAAACTATTGAACTACAACAACTACAAACAAAACTACATCCTAAAAGCCATCTTCATCGCCTTATAAAGATAATTAAATGCTGCAGAACGGTTGAATGAGAGGCAAACTCCCGTAGTTGAAATTGCAGTTTCGGTACGGAAGGAAAGGTAGGGCCCTACCCAATAATCCGTTACAGACGCGGATAGTGCATCGTCACATGCCATTATATATGAAAATTGCGGCTTTCTTTTTACTTCTTAACAATGTTCCACAAGTTTAAACCAACTCATCGATGCGGTGTACTTGCCACCGACACGTCGCTCTGTAGGTGGTGTTTGTGCACCTGTCGGAGGGATTTTTGCACGAAAGCAAGTGCTCTTTCCGCTGAAATAGACGCAGCAAACAACTTCCCACAGCGAATGGTCAGTCGGGGTACATATCCACGAATCCGCGATGCAAACACACCTCTTTCTAGCCCATTGCCGAAAACACCAGCAGCCCGAAGTTCCGTAAACTTCACTGCGTGATTTTGGTTCCCATAAACTGAGGACGGAAAGGCTTAAGCAGTGTTAAACATTTGCACCGCTGACTTTGCGCCCTAAGACGCAAGACATACGACAGTCACGCAAATTTGAAGCGCCTGTCTCGGTGAGTAGCTAGTCTTCTTCAATTGTGATTTGCACAATGCATTTTTAGCAGGTTGCAAAAAGAGACATTCATTCCCCCCAAAGCATACTGCCGCTGCAGACTTTGCCGAAAAGATTATCAGCTGCAGCAGCTGACTGAATGGGGATTTTCTTCGGCTGTGCAACGAGGCACCATCACCACCAATACGGTTTTGATGCTTTTCTTCCTGGTAAAATAAAGTGGGTCTTCGCAGTTCGCTGTTGTTGCATGCATGAGTCTTCTCCTCGACACCGAGACCAATCAGGCGATCACATCGATCTTCACACCGTACTTCACACCATCTGCATTTTGTCCCTTTGACACGTCAAGCTGAGTGCCGACAGTGGCATGGAGGTAGTTGCAGAGTTTGTGAGTCACGGCAACAGCAAGGAGACCGTTCTGCGATATCTTTGACTTGATTGCTGTGTCCTTTTCATCGTTCATGTACCACAAACCGCCGAAAGTGATGTGGCTCTTGTTCTCAGGAATGTTGTATTCAATTTCCGCAGCAAGTTCTGCTCCACGGCCATCCAATGACTTTCCGTTCACACTCCCTATTATCTTTCCAAACATCAGGCTGCCAGCCGGTGCCCTGCAAGCCAAAATGCAACAGACGATGCATGCGCCTATGAATTTCTAGGGCACGTGCGCGAGTGTGCGCAGCTGCAAATGCCATATATGTGTCAATCCTAACATATAAATAGATATGAAACAGAAAAACAAAAATCGCAGGATCTGCCTCACGTTTTCACTGCAGCCATCCAGCTGCCGCCCTTGTTGCCAGGGGTCTGTCCGGTGTAAGAGGCACCGACAGCGTATTTCATGCCACCTGCGTCGAGTTTGCCGGAGACTTCGCCTAAAGAGGGAACAAAACCCATATGAATAAGTCAAAATCAACGAACTAAAGTTTAATTTTGCTAAAAAAGAAGCTGATTAGCATAAACAAACAGCCTGCACCCGCTACGTATCTCAGCTTTCCCTCTTCTGCTCCTCACCTCCGAAACGGAAACGGTCGTAGCTAAACGTGCCAGAGGAAACGAAAGTCCTCATCACGGGGTTCACCTGAAATTTGAAAACAGAAAAAATCCGATATAAAAAACGTTAGAACCAATATTACGGCGTCGGTGGAAAGAAGAGCCAATTGAACTTATTGAAGCATCAATAAGCATTTCAATAATAAATAGTTGAGTAAATAAACTATGCAGCTAGGGAAGGTCTGACATTCAATATGCTGTGAAAGCGAGGGGCCACATATTCGGTGGAGAAGTCGAACACGTCGAGTCCTGATTTATCTCCTTTTCGCTCATATTTTGATGAGAGAATCAAATTGGGAAGTTGAGGAACCTGAATAATTGCACAAGGACGCAGGAAACAATAGACACACACATGTATGTTTGCTTATTCGTCATTTACGTAATGCAGATTCTTCTCCGCATACAAGGAAGTAATTCGTTACAAGTTTCTGCATCGGTGCTAATTAATGATCATCAGTAAGACGAAGAGCTACTACAATAATGTGCTTTCTGCAGTATTTGCTATTGCCACGTTGCACCTTTTCTTGATAAGTTGCTACAACTAATACGCATTAATTATTCCTTCTTGGCTTGCAGTGCAGCACTGTACCTTGTAGGACAAGTCAACATAAGAACGGCCAGCAGAAAAGACCTTCAATTCTGCTGTTGCATCTCCTGCTGAGTAGACGAGAGCTGAAGAGGCTTCGAAGGCACTCATGCCAGTGATTCCTGCAGTGTTTATAATTTGCTGTAAATGAACAACAGAAAACAGCAACAAACAATAAACGCTAAACACGAGAAGGCGTGTCTGTCGAGGCGTAACACGTGTACAGAAGTTCATTTGCACCAACAAAAAGGTGCTGTCGAGAAAAAGAATAAACTGTATCAAGGGTAATTTATCCGTCTATTTTACACAAACACTACCACGATCACCTAAAACAAATGCTTCAGATTCTGAATCTATATAAAACAACTTGTGTCAACAATCCAGATCAATGCATGCACTCGGCTATAAGCGTAAGCTACAACAAACCCTTAAAACACAAACCAGCAAGACACACTGTTGCTTAAGCTTATATGCGAACAACACGATGTAAGGCTGGTGACAAGCACATTCTTCCTGAGGTCGTATTCCTCTAGTTGCCTCTGAAACTGCTTGCTCTGCTCTGTCTTCCTTCGCTACACACGCCCTACCGGGTTCTTCGACTTGTATTTGTACTCCAGCTCCCAGGGTTTCTCATGAGGAAATCCCTTTTTAAGCAGGTCTGCACAAAACGAACAAACGGCGAGCAGTAAAAGGAGTGATGCTGCCGGCGAATATAACAGACGAATGCCTGCGGTTCAAGGGCGCCGTGTCGAGACACAGCAGACGCTTCAGGAATGCTGGGAACCAGATCTATTGCAGAACGTGCTAAATTCTGAACTCATAAATCAATAGGATACACTTCAGAGACAGCTTCTACCTGCCTTCACCTCAAAAAGTGTGTTCCCAGGCGACAGCCTGCTGCAACTCTGCAGCTCCTCGGGAAAACGTGTGGAAGACAGAGTCACCTTTCCCAGGGTACCAACTGAAATACTACAAAACTAGTGTGAGCAAACCAACAAACAATTCATGAAAAACCTTCGGGTGTAGGGCATTTGGGCGCACATACCCGAGGCGGGTTTTCCGATATCTTTAAACAACACCATCTTGGTAGAAGACGTGAATTTGCGCTTTTGAACAAATAAATTGACAGGAACTATAAGTTAGGGTATTTTTAAAGGCTGCAGAAGACCCCAGCACTCCCCAGACACATAAGTCCTGAACACATGCACAGCCTTCTCGCGCCGCCCACATGGGCTGCTGGTGTAGGCGTTGCGCATACACCGCAGTGGCAGTAAGAACTTAATGCGGAAAAAAAGACAATTTTAAAATTCGATAAAAAATTATTAGAACAAATGCAGCGAATACGCCTGAGTAGCATAAACCCCAAATATCTCTTCTACTTGCTTGTTGGCAGCCTGTGTTTATGTGTGTAGTGTAGTGAACAGTACACTGTTACTACGTATGTTCACTAAGCTATTCTGATTAGGTGCACACTATGCAACTAACTACTAAAATCCATGATTCTCGCTAAAACCTCTGCTTAACACAACAAGTAGCCATTATACATTCGAGTTCTTATTATTGTTAGGGAAGAAAACCCAGAATAGTAGAACTGGTCCTCGACCCTCCTTAGAGTCAGCGCCAGAGTCACAGCAACTGCCTCACACCCAGCCCCAAGCTGGTGCCGGCCGGCGAGCACTCTGATCGTATTAAGCTTCTTTTCTATTTTATAATGTCCTAATCCCTTATATATTCGGTAGTATTTATTCCTTTTTCCTGATACTAGTCCTCTAGAGGCCACTCCAGAGGTCCATTGTAGTGCCCGTACAATACAACTTCCTCCCTCGTCCGAACTGGGAACCCCTCCGAGTTTGTTTATCTCTCTTCTTCTCTAACCTCGATTTTCCCAATTGTCGCTATCTGGATGTTCCATGTTTCTGGAGTAGAGGCCCTACCTGCTGTAGGGTCGTGCTACGCTTTGTGCTTTCTTTCACCTGCCACACCCTTTACTATACTGCATTTCCTTTTACTCTAAACCTCCCACTATTAGTGCCTCCATTCGAGTGGCTATTACTAGTAGACCTAATGACTAGTTTCTCTACCCCGGTGCCTGTATTTATTTGCGCACAGCTACTTAGTTCGCATGCCTATTGTGTGGTATCATACAACTGCGCAAGTGTCTGTGTGATCCTATGCTAAACTACTAATTATGTGGATGACACAATAACGCAGAAATGGTGCTCTAGCACCCCTCCTCCCTTCTATAACACGAAATAATAACAACATGCCAGGCAGCGCATAGGCACGAATCGAAGCGGGCACAAGGTCTGTGTGCTACCCGTCAGGGCAGGGTCTGTCGCCACTGCGCACTGAACACCTGTACACTCATATGCATAACTTACGTCGGGTCGCTCACCCCTCGTACTCTCTACTAATGGATTCCCCGCCGTTGCCTTGTCCACTCTCCGTTTGGCTGGCGGCAGCGCACGCCACCTTTGCTGCCTTTTGTTCAGCCGGTGGTCAGTAGATACTATCCTTGTGTTAACCTTGCACCGTGACCCTTTGTTCGAACGGTTGGCTCCCTCAGTACGAGAACTTGCGGTCAACGAGCTATGCCTATTATCTATCACACTCCGCGCCGATGTTGGGCAGCCTCGAGCATAGTGACACCGACCTCCACACCTCTTTAATTTCTAGCCTTCCCTCTCAGCTCTGGGGGAGGCAGAAGGGCATTCTCGGGCCTCTTGCCCCCTTCCCTTGCACCCAATACACACTACCCCTGCCCCGTCAAAGGGTGGGGGCTCAATCCGGGCATTGACGTCCCTGGGAACAACGAGAGGCCCGGATCGCCAAGTATCTTCGGGGAGATACTGATGGATTTCGGCCACGCTCTTCCAGTGACCCGCTTCCTCGTTCCTCCAAGGTTCGGCTAGGGTGGCTAAGTCTGCAGCTGCCGCCCTCCAATCTTCGTGGTGAACAGTACCATGTTTTGTGACAAGCTGCCGCAACTCGAGGGAGAGGGTACCAAGAAAATACCCAAGCCAATCATCGTCCGATAACGACGCCTCCTTACAAGGAATCTGGCCAAAGGTTGCGATGTAAGTACTGTGATCGCCAGGCCGTGGCTTAGCTGCTATCAGCTGCATGATGTCTGCACGATTTATCATGCAAAAGCCTCGGGTCAACTCCCGCTTCGCCGTAGCCCGTCTGACATATTCGTGCCGATGTCTCGGAGGAGATCCCCGTAATCACGGGCATTCCATGCAAGGTACTCGCCTAATTCGTTGCCCCAACTGCCCACGGGCAACTCCATTTTCTCGAACCGATACTCCATAAGGGATAGGAAAGAGGCCATGTGCTCTGCGGTTTCACAGGGGACAGGGTGCCCCATGCAACTTGACTCTCGGGACTCTCCCTTGTGAAGCAGTAAGGTTTGCATCCAGGTGGAGTCCTTTCGGAGTTGTGCAATCGCTTTCCCGTGCGTGTCATTTGCCGTGTTCTCGGCTGGTGGGTTTGGGTGCGTAGTCCCCGGCAACGGTTCAGTGTGATCTGGAAGGGCGGGGTAGTTCGGGCGACGTGTTCCCGGGACTAGCCGGTCGGAATTTCCTGTCGTCGGAGATTGCTTCGGTTGAAGGAGTAGGGGCGGGCACCACTCAGCCATTACGAAGGAGCATCGGATTGAGATCGGTGCTTTGCCTCGTATCCACAGGTTAGTACAAGTGTCAAAACAAAGAGAGGAGGAGACTATTGCAGGTGATCTCGGGTTAGGTGTTTTAAGTCCCCCGAACGGCCCCCAAATATAGTAAACAGCTGGCCAACACTGTTACTACGTTTGTTCCCTAAGCTATTCTGATTAGGTGCACACTATGCAACTAACTACTAAAATCTATGATTCTCCCTAAAACCTCTGCTTAACACAACATATAGCCATTATTCATTCGAGTTCGTATTATTGTTAGGCAAGAAATTCCAGAATAATAGAACTAATAGTGTCCTAATCCCTGAGATATTCGGTAGTATTTATTCCTTTTTCCTGATACTAGGCCTCTAGAGGCCACGCCAGAGATGCATTGTAGTGCCCGTGCGCTACTTATAGTGCACAGGCACTCTCAGGTGTGACCTGTAGAGGCTTAGGTCGCTAAAGGGAATAAATATTAAATATTTTTAGGGACTAGGGCATTATTAGTTAGGAAAAGGAATTAATACTACCAATTGTTCCTGGGATTGGGGCACCGTTAGATAAAGTCGTAGCTTACGAAGGTCAATATGCTAGATATCCTCGCCTGCCGTGTATTGCAATGCATAGACACTACTTTGGACCCCAGATATGACTTCTAGAGATCTAATAAATGGTAAAAGAGATAAATACTATTTACTATATCTTTGATTGTGGCATTTTTATGTAGTTAGCAGCTTTATAGCTAAGTCGCCTGACTGTGTTGTCGCTGCTTTTCTATGTCCCCGCTATCTGATAGGCCAGGCACTGATCCCCAGTGAAGACCGGGGGCCAGTTCTGTTTATTCTAGTCAGTCAGTTCTATTATTCTGGGGACTTTTCTCATTCATAATGGAGACTTGAACATGATGCTACAAGATGATATATGAGCCTTGTGTTGTGCTTTGTTCGGGACCTCCCTAGCCTCCATCAGTCAGGAAGATGCGGAGGTCCCGGGAACCACTTCGCTGACGGATAAAGTAGAGGAATCCTTAGCCAAGAGTCTCCATAGAACACACCCACTCAGACAAGTGTCAGAGGCGGCACAAGCAACTGCTCGTCAGATTATAGACGTGTTGCGGGAACACCGCGTGGTTTTCCCTGATGAACGTCCCTCAGGGCTGCCGCCGAGGCGCCCGTATGATCAGAGGATCCTTCTTGGACCAGGGGTTGATCGCATATCTTGTCGATACCTTGATCTCCCGATCCACGCTACCCTAAATGCACTCACGATCGTTCCGGACTTCCCTCTCCCTCCCATCTTCACTATTCTGGAGATGCTGGGGGGGCCAAATTCTTTTTATTAGGCCTGGAGTCTGGCTTCTACCGGATCAGGATTGCAAGGGAGGAACGCTGGAAAACTCCCTTCCATTCGGTCCTAGGCCTGTGTGAATGTAAGGTGATGCCCTTTGGCCTTAAGGGCGCACCAGCAACATTCCAGGCTAGCACAAGCACCTATCTGCAGCCCTTTACTGGGCCTACCTGTATAAGTACCATGATGATGTCACAGCCGGCCATCGGGGCCGGAAGACGACGTTTCTCGACATTAGCAAGCACTACTACTGGCCAGGCATGCGTGCTTACACTAACGCCTACGTGGATTCATGTACGCAGTGTCGAGCCTCGAAGTCAGCCGGTCGGAAACCAGCTGGCCTCCTACAGCAGCTTGTCATTCCGTCAAGACGGTGGAGTCACGTGAGCCTAGACCTCGTCACGGACTTACCCCGTACGGCCTCGGGAAACGACGCCATTCTTGTGCTGGCGGACAGCCTTAGCAAGATGGCCCACTTCATCCCTACAAGGGAAACGTTGTCCGCCACGGACACTGGTGTTCTTCTGGCGATCGCCTGATCCGCTGTCATGGTTTTCCAGAAATCCTCATCGGTTCCAGTCCGAGGTGTGGTCCAAGCTGTGTACATGGTTCCACATCAGGCGAGCAATCTCCTCCCCTTACCATCCCTAGACTGATGACCAGACGGAGAGGGTTAACAGGACCTTGGAGCGGATGCTGCGGACGAGAGAGAATGGGGTGGCCTGCTACCTGCTCTGGAGTTAGCGTACAATACCACTCACTATTCCTCGATGGAACTTTCTCCGTTCGAGGTTATGATCTGTGAAAACCCGGTAACGGCAGCTGACCTGGATATTCTTGGTTCTCTCTTCCCCTGTTGTGGCAGAGGTTAATACTTAGACCTACTGCCACCTTCGCAGAAGACGCCAATCTGAGCTCGGAAGGTGCGTAGCAATACTACTACTAGCGGACAGATACCCAAGTTAACGTACGAGCGATCGATAATTGAGTAATATTTTTAAACATTAGTTAATCAGAGGTCTAACGTTGGTTAGGAGACGTTCATACACGAAAATCAGACGTTAGCATCACCGCCTGAAATTAATCAGCGGCACACGCTGGGCAGACTAGCCAAAGTACAGCCAGGATGAATAGTTTATCTGCCAACCAATCGCACACTCCTATAGTTGACACAACACATGGGGACTTTGGCGAAGGAAATTGGCATAGCACATGTGAGGAGAGCAAGGGAAACTTAGTTGGAGAGCAAACAGGGGGAAACCTGCATAGCAAAAACACGCGCAGCAACACAACAGCACTGGGGGCATCAATAGAGGGACACAACAGAGCAGCGAAAGAGTAGATCAGCGTTAGGAGGAACGTCCAGTCATTTCACACTTCAGAAGAGTCAGACAGACCTGAGATGGCAACACACAAGGAGCACAATGTCCCCGCAATACAGCACGAGGCAGAGCAGAAGCTGACACCTCCCCTAGGGGACTTCCGGGGACGCCGAAGACTCCTAGTAGAGGGAGACAATAAAGGAAACAATAAAGGAGACATGAACGGAGACAGGGGATAATAAGGAGATAAAAGGAAAAAAGGGGGAGAAAAGGCAGAAAAGGGACCCAATAAATAAAATAAACAAAAGAAAAACATACACAAGAATAAATAAATAACTAAATAGATGGAAAAAAAATATAAAGGCGAGAGTCACTTTAAAATCACAAGGAACAGCAGCAGGACGGGCAGCAGTAATTGCGGCAGTTGAAGCAGCAGTCGCGGTCTTGGTCGAGTAGCATTGATGGAAACCCAGGGATTCAGCGAGTTTCATGAAACAGAGGTATGATGTTCGCGGGAGACTGAAGACACATCGACCTCCAGGAGCGGGGCCAACGAGGACAGCAGGAGAAGCAAAGAAGGAACGACGAAGCTGAGTGAAGGGGACGGCGAGGCACTTTTTGTCCCGAAGAGGGGGAGAGGGTGTCGGCACACCGATACCGGAAGCGGAACGAAAATTAGATGCCGGTCAAGCACAGAAGAAATGTGAAGATCAAGATGTGGAGAAATTAATGTCAAGCAATAAGAGTCGATAAACCTTACAGCGGAGGAGAACCTCCAGATGCGGTAGACGGGGACACGCCCGCGAAATGGAGGTTTCGGCGTCGGCACACCCGATACTGGAAGCGGGACGTTAATTAACTGCCGATCAAGCAGAGAAGGAAACGCAGATTAACTGCCGATCAAGCAGAGAAGAATTGTGAAGATCGAGTTTGGAGAACATAATGTCAAGTTACAAGAGTCGATGAACCCTACAGGGGAGGGGCACTACAATGGACCTTCGAGGTGAGTCCTCGGGGCCTGGTAGCTCGAAAGGGCTTACATAAGATAGAATATTTAAGGATTTAGGGCACTTTTAGGGAAAAGGAAAACCTAATAGGATCAGAGTGCTCGCTAGCCTACACCGGCCATGGGATTGGATGTGAGGTTGGTGCTGTGACTCTGGCACTGACCTCTGGGAGGGTCAACAGTCAGTTCTAATATTCTGGGTTTTCCCGTAAAAATATGGACTCAAAATATGTTTTAGAAATTAATATTATATTAAATTGATACGTCTGTTAAATGCGAATGGAGAATAGATTACAGTAGTGGAGTGTACACCTAGTTAGTCATACCGAGGAGACATACGTAGTAACAGGGAAGCTCAGCTGTTCACTACACAAAGTGGCGACAGAAATATTGCGCAGATCCTAAATGCAGAGTTGTCGAGTACGCAGTTGGCGACAAGGTGTGGCTCAGCGCTAAACACCTTCCGGCCTTAAACAATTGCTCAAAGTTTGCGCCCCGCTACACAGGCCCATTCACGGTGACGGAACGCAGAGGGAAAGTCGCTTACCGTCTCACCTAACCCACCTCCTATACGGGACATAACGTACTCCATGTTTCCCAACCGGCAGTGGATTGCGCACCAAAGACAAATAATCCGCTGTCTGCGGCTGATTCTGTGCCGTTGGGGGCTGAGGAGGGCTCGAGTGGTCTTGTTTCACTGCTGCTGCAGGCGCGTGCTCTATGCGATGCGATAGTTTGGCGAGCGATGTCTCGTACAGACATGCGGCCGGGCCTCCTGTGGGCCCCCTGCAGCTGACTCAGTTGATGGTTTGCTGATTCCACGCTTGGAATCAAGCTTTGGACCTCCTGCCGGTTATTAGGCTGCCCCAACATTCCCTTAAACCTCTCCTTTGCGGTCGCCTTCTAGGACGTGAGCGACGGCCGCTCAGTTGTGGGGCCCCCAAAGAGGGGCCGCTGATCTCATCCATCTCGTCTTCCCGCTATTCCAAGACATTTTCACAGTCGCTAGAAGTGTCAGAGGCTGCGCTGATGTACTCAGCCGCATCCTCCATTTCGGCGTTAACGCCCCTCTGCTCAAGGGCGACGGGCGACTGCGGCTCTGCTGCCGCAGCATGATGCAGATCGAGATCTGCCTGTGTAAATTGTTTTCCAAATAATTAGAACAAGATGGGCAGAAAAGGAAGTGGTTATCATGCTACACTGCTGAGGGTGTGGGGAGCGATCGGACGCGTGAACCCAGGCGGCAATGTTGCATGTCGAAAATCGACAGAACATTGCCTCCTGGGGGTCATAGATGACAAGATTATGATAGAAAATCACAAAAACTAGTTTTTAAAAATTAAGATATCCAAACGCTTCGTCATCTAATCAGAGACAGGAAGCCCAAGTTCCTTGGGAAGCTCAAGTGGGTTGGCAGTCAGTTCCCAATGAAGCAGGTAACCCAACTGACCAATTCCTTGTGGAGTACATCCTTGATCAGCGGGACACGGGGCCTCCGTTCGCTATCACGTGAAATGGGGAGGCGCACCTGAGGAAAGAGCAACATGGGAACCAGCACATCACCTTGAATGTTGTCCGGCGCTGATCCGAGCGTGGAAACGCCGCCGGCGCGAGCAGCAACGAGAATTACGCAATCAGCTCCCTTCGCCTAGGCCTGGCTCTCCTTCCTCGCCTTCTTGACCTCCAGGTAAGTGTAGCAGCCCTTAGTGTCCCAGGGGGGGGGGAGAGAGGGTGCCGGCTCATCCTGATGGTCCACTATATGCTTTCACACTGTTGGGGTTGCATCGGGTTAAGGTAGCACGGGCCAGTTGCAGTAGTCGGGGTACCCATAGACTTGTGGTGCATGAATAGAAGAAGAGTGAAAACGAACCAAGATAACATAGCTATACGTAGCGGAAGAGACAGAAATCAGAAGTATCCGTAGTATTTATGAGGGTTAATGAGTAAGAGATACAGTTTGGAGCCTGGCTACGCAACAGTAGCCCGCCCCCTCGTTGAGCTCACACGAAAAGGGGCCCCATTTTAAGTGGACGGAGGCGCACACACAAGTGGTGCGATAACTCAAACAAAAGTTCATCGATTACACCACCCCACAAATTCCCGACACCGCGAAGCCCTTCGACCTGTTTACCGACGCATCTGGGTACGCATTGGGCGCCGCCCTGGAGCAAGAGGGAAGATCAATGGGATTCCTGAGCCAGAGAATGAATCCCAAGCAGATAAGGTGATCCATTTACAATCAGGAGCTCCTGGCCCCTGTCACCGCCCTTGACAAGTGGGCGCACTTGCTGAGGGTTTCCAAAGTCACCGCCTACTCAGACCACCAGGATCTCACTCACTTGCAACAACTCAAAGCGTCAAAACCTCTCCGCGGCCTCACCGCGGATTGTAAATTCTTGCTGTTGAGGCACGTGGTGTTGAAAGAACCTAGCTGTACCTAGTACTGATAACTATTATCAAGTAGCACGCACCCAAAAATACAGAATGCGAAATTTTTGGTCCTCGTGGCTTTTGAAACTGCAACGACTACCGAATAATTAGACGGGACCCAGCATTAAGCTGCGATGTTCACGCACATGCATTCAACACTTGCCGACAGCGCAAGGATGGCCTGTAGATTGTCCCGAGGAATGCTCTCTAGCAAACCGCTCTAATAACCTCTGGCGTCCCCCTGGCAGCTCCAAGGAACTTGCAGTTCGATTCACTGTTGTATTTGCCCCTCCATGGCATTCCAAAGCATGACCGTGAATTTTGCATAGGACGTATGTACGGTGTGGAAAGGGAACGTACAACTGAAGAACGCCGTTTCGATTGGTTCCACTAGGTATCCCGGTCGATGCTGTAGTGCTTCACATGCAGCCTACTGCTGAGCTGAGTTACAAATGTGATCACATGTGTATTTAAAAGAGTAAAATATAAGCAATTTGGAAAGAAACCGTAGTCTCGAGTTCTGAAGACGGTGTGACATGTATGCTGAGGGTAATGGCTGCTGCGTTCTCACTATCTGCCTATGCATTGGCATTTAACGATTTAGCAATAGTTCGGCAAGAGCTTTCGAACGAAAGTATATATTTGCCATCCGGTGCTAGTCAATGAGTATGCATCGTCCCGCCCTGCTGAGATGGTGAGGTTGGTTGTTCGCTCCTGCGTGCCGTGAACCATCCAGTGTTACCAAACGGCATTCAGGTGCTGGATCTTAGCCGAATAGTATTGTGATATGCAACTGGAGCAAAACATTTGACAGTTCCTTAAAAGCAGAGGGCCTCCTTCCCCTGTCTCCTGGCTTCCTGTGCTGGGAAGCACAAGTGCATGGAGCTGCGGATAGAGGATTCTTCCTGCCATAGGTTGCTACGCACCTCCCCTGAACGCAGAGCATACCAGTCCCACATACAATCATATACGAGCCCTCTCGTATGTACAGGCGCTGCCGATTGTCTTTGCGTACTGTTGCCTGTGTAGCCCCTTTTCAAGAGGGTAGGTTTGGGGTTCATCTCCACACTCTGCACGAGCTTGACTACATATAATTAGTCATGCCCCATAATCTGCCAGGGCTGGTTTTGTATGTTACTGTTGGGTGCTTTGTAGAAGGGGAAGAAAATCGGGGGTAAAGTGATCATAAAATTTGACGGGAATCAAGTGTTCGCAGCAAAGTCTTCTTAAACAAATATTAAAAGTAGTTTTTCCAGTTTTTCATGCATAACTCACGGGTGCACTATCGAGGCCCTTGGTGTACTGCAAGGGTCTGGGGCTCAGTGGGGATTTTACGGCTTGGCAGTACTGCTTAAAAATACACAGACGAAAATATAATACTGCAATTTTCGAACAACACCGCCAGAAACGGCAACCGCAGCAGCAACAACAGCAGCATCGGTAGCAGCAGCAGACCAGTGGTGTATTTAGCCCCCTGTCTGTGTCTCATGCACCTCGACGTCTTCCGTTCTATGCAGCGTCTTACCTTCGTTTTTTTTAAATTTAATTTGCCTTTTTTTCTCTTTACAGCTTCGATGCCCCTGTGCTGCTGCCTCCCTTCTGTCTTCTTATCGTGGCTTTGCAAAGCAAATGCCTTATCTCCGTCCCCGCCAGCACACACGCACAGATTCCAGGCTCATTTGCACTTGAACAATACTCCCTACACCATAGAGCCTAAGCCATAAACACTAAATCCTAAGCCCTGACCATTAACCACGGTGGTTCTTCCACCCTCCGTCTCGGCAGGATACCTTGGCAAGGGTGTTGAGTGTTGTAGCTTTTACTGTTCCTAGGAGAGGAGATATAAAACCTTCATATACGCCTTTTAGTGTTTAGGGGTTTACGAGCTAGAGGACAAACCTGCCGTGGACGTGCATCACGCCGGAAACGGCGGGGGATCAATGGGGGTGGATGCACAAAACACCCAGGCTGCAGCAGCAGCAGCAGTTGCAGCAGCAGCTGCTGCTGCAACCACAACATCTTCAGATGCTGCGGATTCAATAGTATCACCAGAAGCAGCGGTGGCAGCTGCTGCACCAACACCAGCGGCTGCAGCGCCAGGGGCAAAGACGACTGCGACTGCAGGAGGGCACTCTTCAGCAGCGGAATCAACTGCAGCACCAGAAAAATCTGCTGCAGCTGCTACAGCACGAACGACTACAGCACCAACAGACAAGGCTGCAAATGCACAGACGGGGTCGCGTTCTGCTGCTGCGGAACGCTTACGTTTGCTGCTATCTTGTTGGAAGATGCGTCTAGTGTCTGCTTTTTTTGCGCTGACGTTACTGCTGCTGCTTTTGTTTGTTCTGTCGTTCGTTTTGAGGCAGTTGAATCCTGTTCAATACCACCAGCCGCAGTCGACCCTCCTAAGCTCCAGTGCAATGCTTCTTCTTCTTCAGAAGCAACAGAAGCAGCAGCAGCGCCAGCAGCAAAAACAGCAGAAGCAGCAGAAGGAGAAGCAGCACCAACAACAGCCGCGGGGGGTAGAAGAAAATTTGAGGTCTGAACAGCAATGCCCACTGTCGCCGCCTCCGGAGCAGCTGCTTCTGCAGCAGGAAGAGGGCGTCAGCACTTGCCCTTCCCTCAACGTTTGCAGCAGCAGGGCGAACCTGCTACTTAAGCAGCTGTCGAACAAGAAACAGCAAGTGCAGCAAGCTTCTGTTGATGCGCAATACTCGGCGTCTCCTGCTACAGAAGCTGGAGAAGCTACAGGAACTTCTCACCCTTCCGTTGCACCAGCGGCACCACCAGCAACAGCAGCAGCAGTTGCTGCTGCTGATGCATTTGAAGGGTGTTCAATGCTTCGAGTATCTTTCGGCACCCAGAGGAAAAAGCGGGAAACGGTTTACCCAAAGCTGCAGCAAAAACAGCAACTGGAGCAGCAGCAACACAAGGAAGAGGACCATCTGGGTCAGGAGCACAAGCATCTCCTGCACCTGCACAAGCAGCAGGTGCAGCAGCATCAGCAGGAGCATGAGCGGCAGCAGCAGCAGCAGGCTGGGGAGCTGTTAGGTTACTGGCACCGCATGCACTCCGTGTATGCAGCAGCAACACCCCCTACATTTATTAGCGACAAACATTTCATTTTGCAGCAGCAGAACGAACATTTCTGGACTGTTACCAGTAGCAGCAAAGAAGGAAGTGTTGTAGCCTATGCAACAGCAGCAGCAACAAGAAGCAGCAGTAGTAGCCGCCAACACACACTCACCTGGTGGGTCAAAAAACCCCTGCAGCAGAAGCAGCAGCAACAGTGGGACTGGGTCCGCTCCTTGGTTTGTGAGTGTGTGGCTACTGATTTCGTTTCCTTGCCTGCCTCTCCTCCTACCTCAGCTGTGTCTTCCTCTCGCGACACTCTTTTTGGCCTAGAAGCAGCAATTTCTGTTGCGTGTTTTGGTGCCGATGCTTCTGCATTCTTTTTTGCTGCCGACAACCAGAATATACACCCTAGTTGCTTTCAGCTGCTGCTGCAGCCAAGCGGAAGCCAGCTACTATTGTTGGAGCGTTTGCTAGAGGCTTCACAGGCACTCCTGCAGGACCTGCAGCAGCAGCCGATTTTGCAACCACCGCAGCAGCAACAACAACACCAGGGCCAACAACAGCATCCGGAAAGCCAAGGAGACGGAGAAAAACAGAGTGACGAAGAGAAAGAAGAAAGCGAGCAGGAGAAGGAACGAGAAGAAGGAGGAGAAATAGATGCAGCACAACAGCAGCAGCAAGAGTTCTGCCCCCGGCTGCGAGTCTGGGGTGGTTTAGGGGCGGGAGCAGCGTCAGGGTGTACAGGCAACTTTGTTTTTATATCAAAGCTGTTCGATGACGACAGACTCCTCTTCAGCTCCTTCTCCCTAGATGGGAGGAAGATGTTTCTGATCCTTGAAAAAGACAAAATTGTATGTGGAGCGGAAACTGCAGTACCAGCAGCACTGGGGATTCACACGCAAGACAGCGGCAACACCAGCAACAGCAGCACAATCTCGTCATTCGATGTCGGGCGAGGTGAAGCGCCATTTTCTGCCGAATTCAGCAGCTGTCGGCAGCAGCATCAACAACAACAGCAGCAGGAGGAGCTAAGCCGGCAGAATCAGCGGCAGAAGCAGCAGGCGAATCATTCTCTGCTGCAACTGCTGCTGATGAGCAACACGGTACAGTTGGAGGGATTTTGGCTACGAGAAGATGGAAGCTACACACATGCGAAGATGGGTCTCAGCTGCTGCGCCAACACTGACGAAGGTCCAAAGACCACAACATCCTAACCGTAAACCCTAATTATTTATCCTTCAACCTTCCGGATTCGTCGATTCTATTGGGAAATTCCGTTGCATATTCTTGGACCTTATGTTGGGAGTCTCATTGTTGAGGGTTTAGGGTTCGGGATTAACAAAGGCTGCACGGAGGGGAGATTCGTACAGCTACGTATATACAGAGTCGTGTGTAGTGTAGCAGGAGCACCTTCTTGTTTGGGGTTTGTGCTGGGGCAGCAGTGGAGCAGACGTTGTTTAGGGTTGAGGGTTTAGATTTTGTGGTTTGGGCTTTGAGGTTTTTTTTGCAGGGTTGGAGGACAATTTGTGTTCGGCTCTGTCTGTCGTCGGTTCCCCCTTTGCAGTATTAAATGGTCTGTGGAGGCAACAGGGAACTCACAACAGGAGGCCAGTATTCATCAAACGTGTCAGCAGGATTACCCTTGCTGCTGCTGCCCCTGCTGCACTTGTTGTTCCCGCAGGTGCGGAGGATGCAGCGACGGGGCTAGGCGCTGCAACAGCAACAGCAGCCATAGCACATACAGGAGCAGCAGCTACTGGATTGGAAGGGTTAGGAGCAGCAACGAAAGGCACTTCGTCAGCAGCAGTAACAGAAGGCATGTTGCTGCTGTACTATGATACAGCAGGTTTCTGGGCAGTATCTGTCTGTAAGGGAGGTGAAGACCTTCTACGGTGTGCAGGCAGCTCAGGGCGAGCGTACAGCAAAGCTAATCAGGAGGGAAGAGAAGGAGGCATTAGCATACATGGAGAGGAAAAAGAAAGGAAGAGGCACCGGATGGCCCAAGGGGCGACTGCTGCATCAGAAGAGGCAGGCAAACCAACAGAGGCAAAGAACCCGAAGAACGCCAGAACAAACAAAGCGCAAGGTACGCAAGAGGAAGAAGGAGAGATAATAAAGACGGATAAGGAGACAAAAACAAAAGAGGGGAGTGTTTATCATGAGGAACAAAGCATAACCACAAACAAGAAACGAAGCATGCGAAGAGAGGAACCTAATGAGGGAGACGGATACGTACACAGTAACAAGAAAGAGAAAGGTGTAGTATTCATGAGAGAAGCAGAAAGGAGTTCAGTATACACCCCAAAACTAATTGCTGTTTCTTTTGCAGATTCTCCCTCTCCTCCATCGGGCCCTTGGCTGTTTTTTTATAGCCAAGGGAATAACAACAAAAACCTTCAAAATGAAGGAAGGACAAGAGTTAAATTAACAACACAAGAAGCTGCAGCAAAAGCAACAGCAGCAGCAACAGCAGCAAAAGCTGCGAATACATATCAACATTCAGTTATCTATAATCTTAGCGTGGGTTGCACGCACAGCAGAAAGCGGCTATAAATAGGCCTTATTCTCTCTCTTTTTTAAGAGAATTCATGAATACAATTGACAATTATAATAATAATAATTATTATTATTATTTTTATTTATTATTATTGTTGCCTTCATGACCATTATAGCAATAAAGACAGGGTATACGTGAATAATGCATGCATAAACAAGGATGCATTGCATACAATGCTGCATAAGAAACACAATAAACAAAAAAATAGATTAGTTATAGTATTGAATTATATAAGGTACATATAATTCAATTATTTTCCCTATAGAATAGCAATACTTTGCTTGCTCTTGGCTGCTGCCGAGGCAGCAGACAGACAGACAGACCACTCCTTTGTATGACAGCAGCAGAGGAATAAAAGAAAGAAGATAATCTACGTATTACTGCGTTGCCTACTCGCGCCTACTCAACACGCAGAGGACGAGTTTGTTCCTTTTTATTGTTTCCTTTTATTGGATTTCCTCCCCCCTCTGCATGCATGGCGTGTTGTTGGTCATATGTTGCTAGGTATATTCCTTGTTATTTAGGTATATACAACAATAAGATAAGATTTGCCTCCCTGCTACATCGCTAGCTGTACACCTTCGTAGTTAACTCTGTCTAGCTAGCTGCTGCAGCTGCTATTGCTGCAGCAGTAGCTGCAATAGATACAACAAGCTCATTGATGCCTATTTCTTGTTATGCTTACTGTCTAACACTAAACCCTAAACCCTAGATACCTCCAAGAAAAATACCTCATATCTCCTGCTGTACACAACCTTCTTCTACCCCCAAACCCTAAACCCTAAACCCTAAACCCTAAACCCTCGAAATAAATTTGAAACCCTTAAGATAAATTAAAAGGTTGGATGCTTAGCAATAGGAGTTATTTCCCCTGTAGACCCTCATATGCATAACTTTACTCGCTGCCTGCTGCTCTCTCTCCTCCTTCTCTCTCTTATAAGAGAGGGGGGCCTATATAGGGTGAGGGTTTAGGGTTTATATCTTTGAAGGCCATAACGAATAAGCATAAAGAAACCCTAAACCCTAAACCCTCATAAACCCTCAACAATCCATATCTCTTCTTATCTAGGTGTTATTCATGTACACCTTTATATATATATATTTATTTATATATTTATTTACTACTATTTATACCGCTGCCTCCTTCTGCATGCAAACTTTTTTCTTTATTATTTTTATATATGTATATATATATTTATTTATTTATTTATTTATTTTATATAATATATATATAATATATTATATAAAATATTCATGTATATATATATATATATATATATACATTTATATGTACATTTATTATACACACAATACGTATAATCATATATACTAAAGGAGATAAAGAATAAATAAATAAATAAATAAATAAATATATATATAATATTTATATATATAAATATATATTTATATATTTATATCTTATTAATCACAACCATAGCATAAGTAAACAAACACAGATGTCCGTAACATATAATATGCATATATATATATAAATATACAATAAATATACAATAAATATACATTATTTATTTATTTATTTATTTATTTATTTATTTATTTATTTATTTACTTTATTATGCGCATATATATATATATATATATATTAATAAGTATTTATCTTTTTCTTTACATTACCTTTTATTTAATTAATAAATATTTACTCGTCAACAGACACTGCAAAGCCAAACCCATTCTGCTGCTGCTGCTGCTGCTGCTGCTGCTGCTGCTGCTGCTGCATTTGCTGCAGTTGCTGCAGTAGCTATTGCAACAATAATACAATTATGTAAGAGAAACAATATATTAATTATATTTATATATGTATAAATAAATATATAATATATATTTATATTTATTTATTATACATATATATATAAATAAGCAACTTCTTCCTTATTACTACTTATAGGTATATACACCAACAAGAAACAAACAACCAACTTATGCCCTCCCTATCCAATAAAAGGGCAATAATAAACAAATATAATCATTAAATTAATTAAATAATTAATTAATTAATTAAATAATTAATTAATTTAATTAAATTATATACTTTTTATAGGCAGCACTTATCCAAATACTACTGTGCTACTTTTCTCTCTTTTTTCTTATACAACACCTGTTATATATAACAACACATTTACTCTTTTTTTTTTTTTTTTTTTTTTTTTTTTTTT